GTTTATAATGTGACTTATGGGGTTTTGAGATCTAGAATGCCTTGGGAATTATATTATTGTTATATTATATTATTATTGTGGTCTGGTATATATAAGATGGTCACGGCGTGACGTGACAATAATGTGTGTGTAGGTGATGTGTACTTGAACTGCAGTCAGAGAGAGACGTATTGTTGAAGTCTAGCTCGTGATACGTGAATTATAGTTTGTTATAGCGCAACTGTTGAAGTTGAGTGTATCGGTAAAGTTATATTCAGAAAGAATAAACCAGTTTTATTTAAGAAAGGACTTGTGTCACTAAAGTTTCGTCGGAACGAAGTTACGGAAAATTAATTAACAAACGGAGACGTAACAATAGTAATACCTGACACGCTTCCTATATTGGCAAACGGATTGAAAACTGTTATGGTGCGATCTGGGTTATGATGGTCAAGTGTAATTTTTTCATCAATCACAACACGTCAGAATTAGGGCTAAGATTAGTTTGTAATATATATTTAACATCGAAGCTTATTATATTAACATTATGAACAAGCGTCATCCGTTAGATATTCTACATGTTATTAACAACCTGTCCCCCGGTGGGTCAGCGATAAATCTACGGTTTGTTTGTTATGAATTTCGCGCAAAGCTATCCGCGCTTGCCGTCCCTAATTTAACAGTGTAAGATTAGAGGGAAAGCAGCTAGTCATCACCACCCACCGCCAACTCTTTTACCAACGACAACCGTCACATTATAACGCTCTCACGGCTGAAAGGGCGAGTATGTTTGTTGGGACAGGGATTCGAACCCGCAGATTGCGAGTCGAGCGCCCTAACCATCTGGCCATGCAGGGCCGGGGAGGGGGGGAGAGAGCTCTACTTACCCACCAGTGAATAGGACAAAAAATACTAAAAGTACAAACGATTAGTTTGTAAGGTTGTTTTTCTAGTGTATGTGATACATTTTGTGAGTCATCGCTCGCCAGTCTATTTCAAGAGCCAACAACAAGAACACTTGCAATCTAGTTCGACCTAATGGTTAGCATGACCGGAGTGCGACTCCAATGATTCGAGGTTCGCGTCCCTTTGTCGTAAAAAAAAACACACAAAAAAAAACAATGTGGCAAACTTTGCAAGAAGTTTTTTGAATTGCGCACAAGGCTACACGAGGGCTGTCTCGCTAGCCGTCCATAATTTAGAAGTGATGAACTTCAGAGAAACCAATTGGTCAACACCACACACTTGCAACTCGTGGACTAGTTTAATCGAATAGGGGAATTTGACCGTCACTCTTTTAACGCACTCATAACACCAAAATGCAAATCGTTTTTTTTTTTTGGAATAGCGGGGTGTTACCCACGGAACCTTGGACTGAAAGTCCAGCACGCCGCGCTCGGCCCTTGCAGAAAGTAAATAAAATCTAAACATAATTTTGTCACTTTACAATTTCCTAACGTGTGTGAAATCTTTATTCAGAGCAAGGAATTCATATTATATGAATTGTTTGTTTGTTTGTTCCAGCACAAAGTTACACAATAGGCTATCTTCGCTCTGTTCACCACAGGAATCGAACCCCGGATTTTAGCGTTATAAGATTGTAAGTTTAACGCTGACCCACTGGGGGGGGGGGGGTATTGGTTGTTAAGTGGCCAAGCTAAACAATGGGGCATCTGTGCTCTGGCCACAGCGGGTGTCAAAACCCGGATTCTAGCGTTATAAGCCCCCAGACTTACGGTCGAGCCACAAGAGGATTAACGATTTAAACTGTCCTTCCTACGTACTGATGGGAAAACTTAGAAAGATTTCAATTTCTTTCAGTGTTGTTTATGCTCTTGCTGCCCGGTTGTGAAGGATAGGTCATCTCCAAAACTTATTATAAACTTTTAACAATAATTTTACATTAGTTAATAGGTTTTCACCAATTCTGTCATAAACTATATAATCCTCAATCTATCAGCTTTATATTACATTGCTCACTATTGGTGAGATCCACATATTGCATCATACTGGGAAATTTTTTATGTTTTTTCCTGTTACAACACTGAATGTAAATAAGTGACAAAGAAAAAGGTATATTACTCGTTTTTCAACGTTAACACACACGCGCAAATGTGACCTCTGTAGTAATAATTGTTTTGTTTTTTTAAGAGCAAAACTACATTGAGCCATTTGCTGCGTCCATCGTGGGAAATAAAAACCCCAGATTTTAGCGTTGTAAGTCTGTAAACTTACCGTTGTCCCGCCAGAGGGGGAGCAGTACTAAATGGGAGTAAATGCAATATTGACGATATTTTTTGTTTAAATGGTAGTGGTTGATCCACGTGTTATTATTGGGAATCCAGTAACCGGCAAAGTCGTGGGCTCGCAATCAGTTTGATGCATAAATAGTCTGGAAAAAGATGTTTAATAAATCATTGATAATTCTAAGGTTAACAACGTGTAACCCCCCTGCATGATGACCTTGACTAAAGTTCTGTAAGATCTTCACATTAATAGTTGTTGATTTATATGAACTTGTACGTGGGTTGTGTTGTTAGCAACATCCCCACGTGCAGAGTGACTTAGAACACAGGGTCAACCTACACCTCCACGTGCTTGTTCTATCGGTAAGCGTGTGGTTTGGAGTATATCCAATCGAAGCACTACTACTCAGACTGCGTTTTCATTCTTTAGTTAAATAAATACTTCGAGTTTGTTTGAAATAGCCAATGTATATACACAGAAGAAGGGGAAGAAAAACAACCTACAACTTATGTTTCGCTTTAGGCCTAGGTGGGGTTCACATGGTTAGCGATGGTATAAATACACCCGCGAGAGATAATTTAATGACTAAGCTTTTTTCTGTAGCTGGAACTATTTTGTTAGTCGTGAGAATTACTGTTAGAAATGAGGTTAAACTCTCCTCTAGAGTGGCTGTTGATTTTGATTGAATTTTACACATTTGAAATAACCCACAGATAAGGAACCGTCAAGTCTGGTTCATAAGACTTGGGGCGGAATTTGTTTATGACGTCATTCAAACGGCAAGCGTTAGGGATCACTTACACGAGGCGCCTAATTTTATCATTATTCATGCAATACAATTTACGAGATAATTTGTTTGTCTTTCTGTATATTCTGCAGACATGATAGAAAAGGTTTCAAGCTATTTATTTAGAAGTCCATTAGTTTTGGCTCTAAAAACTGCTTTTTTCTGACAATTAAAAGCGAAACTGTCGCAAAGCGGGGTAACTGAAAATAGGTGATAATTGTATAGTTTAATAGATAGTATTGTTATACTTATAGGCTACGTTTCCATTGATTGTCCGGAAGAAATGGGCTATCTGTGCTTTGCCTACCAAAGGTATCGAAACCCCACATTTAGCGTTGTAACTAGTAAGCCTGCAGACTTGCCGCTGAGCCACTGGGGGCATATAAAAAAAAGAGTGAGATTAGGTTAATTTAATGAGTTTGTAATCAGTAAGTTAGTATATACGAGTTTTCCAGTTAATTAGTAACCGTGTTTGTCTGTTACTTTAACAGTTTAAGCCAATTAGTTCTGTGCTGTATGTACCGGAGTTCGTGTTTCCACAAAGAAATATAGATACGAAATTACACTAGCAAGTAAGTAGAATTTACAGAATTTTGTTGTTAATCGCAAAGTTACACAATGAGCTATCTCCGCTGCTCTCACCACGGAGATATCGAAACCCGGATTTTAGTTTTATAAGCCATCAGACTTACCACTGAGCCACTGTTCGTGTTATAAGAAATATGAGGTGTAAAGCAGATACGGGTGGATAAACTGTGGTGGTAAATAAAACCAGTCATGATAACAAAACTTGAAGAACTATTACAAGAAAGTTGTTAGGAAATAATTAAGAATGATAACACTAATAAGTTTCGTGAGTTAATAAAAGACAAAATGAAAAACTGTACATCTTCAACACCAGAAAAAAAAAAGAAAAAAAAAAAACGAGCCAATACCCAAAAAGTTATATAGATTGAAATTTTTATGCTGTTCCTAAGGTTGACGAAAGTAACAATAGTCATAGACCAATGTTATCTAACTTCCATATATCACCATACAAGACAATTTGCATCTTTAGAGAAAAATTAATACACAGTAAAAACAAAAAGTTTATAGAATTCCTAGAAAAAAACCTAAACAAATAATATTAAAGGAAAATAATTTGTTTGATTGTAATTAAGCCCAATGCTACACAATGGGCTATCTGTGCTCTGCCCACCACGGGTATCGATACCCGGATTCTAGCGTTGTAAGTCCGCAGACACACCGCTGTACCACTAGGGGGCGGAAAATGATTTATATGTTTCATTTTACAGTTTCTTTATTCACCAAAGTCCCAATCAAAACATCTATTGATTGTTTATAAAAGAAATTAAAAGAAAAAAAAACATTTTTTTTGGTTAATAATACGTGACTATGGGATTTTATTGTCACTGTTATTGTGTGATTTTTATACAAATTAATTCGAAATAAGTTTACTCTGACACCAGAAACTTGGATATGCTGATGACATCATTATGATATGGTGTCATGGTAAAGAAACTTTAACAAAATTTGGTGATTATCTAAAAGGTTTAGACTTCTACTAAATTTCCACATGTGGTTGAAGTGAACAAGCTTACATACGGGTTAAAGAAATGGTCAAACATGTTAAAGAAATGGACATACGTGTTAAAGAAATGGATTAATGTGTTAAAGAAATGGACAAATGTGTTAAAGAAATTGACAAATGTGTTAAAGAAATGGGTAAACATGTTAAAGAAATGGGTAAACATGTTAAAGAAATGGGTAAACCTGTTAAAAAATGGACAAATGTGTTAAAGAAATTGACAAATGTGTTAAAGAAATGGGTAAACATGTTAAAGAAATGTGTAAACCTGTTAAAAAATGGACAAACGTGTTAAAGAAATTGACAAATGTGTTAAAGAAATGGGTAAACATGTTAAAGAAATGGACAAACGTATTAAAGAAATGGGTAAACGTGTTAAAAAATGGACAAACGTGTTAAAGAAATGGGTAAACGTGTTAAAGAAATGGACTAATGTGTTAAAAAATGGGCTAATGTGTTAAAGAAATGGACAAACATGTTAAAGAAATGGACAAACATGTTAAAGAAATGGGTAAACGTGTTAAAGAAATGGACAAACATGTTAAAGAAATGGACAAACATGTTAAAGAAATGGGTAAATGTGTTAAAGAAATGGACAAACGTGTTAAAGAAATGGACAATCGTAAATGAGTACAATTTATTTGTAAACCTTTTTCTGCGATCATGTCATCAAATCACCAATCGAAAGTTAATAAAATATCAGCTATTTCTATGTGTATAGATCTAATAAAGAGTTAAGTATTATTGTTGAAACACGTTCCAGTTGATCAAAGTATTTACCCAGATATTCATTGATAGGGCAGCAAAGGAATTTATGAAACAAACTTTCACAACAGTAATTTCATGAAAGTATTTGAGTAAACTAAAAAAAAAAAAAGAACAGTTAACTTGGCTCTACCTTTTATCTTGTAAAGTTCTTGATAAATTTTCGTTAAAAAATTTTAACCCTATATATAAACCCATAAATAAAGTTATTCAATTATTAAATAAAAGCTGTGGATAAAGCAAGTATAATGGATAAAATAACAGACTATTAGGCCAGACTAATACGAAGTTAAAATATATATGGTGAATAAACACGAGTAGAAAAATAACATATTTCCCCATTAGTCAAAGATGTTAGCACAACACAAAATATAATCCATTGAAACAGAATTTATTTCATTAGCTCAACCTCAGAAATGACGTTACCACAAATATTTGTGAATCTTGGATATAATTAGATATAAGAAAAAATAATGTATTAAACAAGGATGAGGGGATTAATGGGGAGGAGGATGAGGGGATAATATGATCTCTAAAAAAAAAACATATAAATTAGCATATCATGATTAAACAGAGGATATAAACAGTGTAATGTTCTTATGATTTACACTCCTGAAGATGATCTGTTGAAGCATCTAAACATATAAAGGTAGAAAAACAAAATGACTGTTACAATCTAACAAAGTTTTACTTAAACTGGCTACATGACCTCGGCTAGTACCTAAAAAAATTGGTTAAAATATCTCTTATAATTATCTGGAGATATTTAAATTTTATCTGGAGGGTAAAGGTCATTTTTTTTCTTCTAACTTTATTATCAAAAGGTGTCAACCATTTCAGTATATATACGTAAAGTGTATTTGAGACTGTAGGTCAGAACGGAACTCAACCAACAATGGAAACTATTCCAAGAACATCATCATCAATAAGCAGACAAAATAAATGTACCAACTCCAGTCAAGTGAATTACTTAGAATTTCTTTTTTTTTTTGTACAATCCTTGAAAATATACATGTGGCAAGAAACGCAGAATTCAACAATACATAAATACATCCTAATTATACATCAAATAGAGTATACGCCACATCATTTACAATACATGTTCAAATACTGAGTTCTAACAGCCCACAATTCCATTAATAAAGTACGTTTTTATCCTTGACGTTCAGTGTAGAAAAAGGAATATATATTTCAATTTTAATCATATAATTCATATTAAGTAACGAAAAACAAGAAAAATTTACCAGGTATTAAAATATTCTATAAAACTTCAGGTGTTACTTTCCACATGAGAAACCCAAATTAACATTTTTCAGTATATATATATATATACTTAAGATAATATAAAAATATCCTCAAACACAGTCTTTCACTATTATTTCTATTTTTGAAAAAGAAAAAAAAAATACGTTTGTTACTAAATGGGTAACCATCAATTATTTTTTTTTTCATCAATCTAAAATTTTTTAACAGTCCAATAAAAAAAAAAAAAATACAGCAATCCGAATGATATTTTTGGCTAGTCAACCTGCAATATTTCAACTGCATTCCTGCATTAAGGAAAATTTGCTTATAATCAAAAACAGAGAAATCTTAGCAGGGTAGAGAGTTATTTACACTCTTGTACAAATGTCAACATAAAAACATACAAGAAATGGTCAAGATAGTTTTGTGCAGTTTGAAAAAATGAAGAAACCTGAACAGAGGTTGAAAACGAAGATTTAATTTTAAAAACAAGATGACGAGGAACCCACTTTGAGACTAATAACGCTTGGAGACGGCTTGAATGGGTAATGAAGAAAAACTTTATACAAGTTCAATATAACAGCAAATGTACAATGTTTCGACATTGTACCTGATGATGACAAAACCTCGTCGAAACGTTGTACATTTGCTGTTAGGTTAAACTTGTATTAAAGTTTTTCTTCATTACCCATTCAAGCCGTCTCCGAGCGTTATTACCCTTCCTTAGATGTAGATGACTAACCTCAAACTGTTCAAAATTCTATGAACAAGAGAAAACTTATTGGCCAAACAATTGGGTATGTGATAATAATAAGTACAATGCATATAACTATCAAACATTAATAGATTTAGTTTAGGCAAACACATCGAGAAAAGGCGTTAGTCTCAAACAGAAAATACGAGTCCTACAATCTGATTAATTTGATGTTGGTGTTTTCGAAAATTCTCAGGAATATCATAAGCTGTTGCATTTTTTTTTTTTGTTTTTTGTACAGTTACGGCTACAGAGGTTTACAGTATTAACTTTTAAAAATAGAGCCTGTTTCTCTGTACTGTGCTTAATCTATTTTCAAATCACAATACGGCATTGAGCAAGAGACACAACTATTCTATTTAGCAGAATACGGGTATAAACGTACGTAAAAAACGAATAGATTTTAAAATCTTCCTTTAAACACACGATTAATACACTCCATTCATGGTAAATATAAACGATACCAGTGTCCTTTATATAAACTAACTGAGTAAACTTTGTTCTACCAGAAACAAAAAAACCTGAACACTGAAATAAAAAATATGTACGGGTGGAACACTGTTTGAAAGATACAGTTTTACATAGTTTCGAATTCCTTTTACATCTCTTTGTTTATCACAATGATAATATAATAATTTGGTGAAAATGGAATCACTATGATCAACTCCCCTACATTGTCTTCTCTTGTTTTACAACCTGTTGAGCGGCAGCAGGTTGGCTGGTTTCTTGCTGTTGTAAAAGCTGGCTTCTCTTTCTGGTGTAATGCTGCCAATGTAATAGTTGTTGGTCGTCAATGAACTTAGCACACTGACTGCTGGCTATTTCTCGGCTGAAATGTTCGTACTGAAGAAGCTCCAGGAAGTACAAGCACATGGGATACCTATACAGTTTTAAACACCTTAGAAAGTGTATATGCCTTATTTGTTTCTATACTTTTACCTCTTTAATACTTTAATCATAAAGATGTAAAAAATATAAGATCTTAGTTAGCATCAATACAGGAATTTCTGATGACAAGAGTACGCGTGAATGCTCAGTAGTTTTATCTTCATTAAAAAATTGAAAACTGATCTGATTAACTTTTTTCAATCCTTTTAACTACAAGTCAAACCTAGTCTCAACTTATTACACATAAAAACACAAGTACTGTATTACATTACACGACTTGCGTATACAACATATTATTTCAAAGACAGACATTTTGTGATGTCAAAATAACATGTATTGTTTCTTTATTTACTAAAACAAAAAAAGGCTTACTTCAAATACTTGGCATATTCTGGTTTTTTCCAGTACTGGAGATATTTTATGTAGTTGTTAAACACCTTATCTTTCAGATATCCTCGCTGAGCCAAAACTGAAATCAAGAAACAAATCTAGTTATTTAAGAGCACGGTACAGTCCTTTCTTGTATAATTCTGTTTTAGACATAGAAACTAAGAGGTTAATAAAATGTGATGAAAAAAAGAAATTTTGTGAAATTCTGAACAAAGATTCTGTTATATCCGCTTTAATTTTTCAACAAAGAGAAACGAACGTTGAAATTATGAGCATCAAAAAAACTACCGAAACCCCCTCTATTAAATCGTAAAAATTGTTAGAAACTTACCACCCCGATAAATCAGGTCTGTAGAAACAGAAAAAAATAGAACTTCTAAACAAAAGCAAAGAAGAGCGCATGGTAACATATCAACCTCATTATATTTGCTATATCCATTGCCGATAAGGCCTTTCGTCCAATACTGGGGTTCTTGAGGCCAGCTGAGATACAACAGACATAGTTGTGGTTGAGATGGCTATTATGAAAATGCTTAAAAAACTATTAATGTGGATAATGGTAAAGGGTAATCTTTAGCGGTTTTATTTATGTTACCACATATGAGAATCAAGGTAAGAATTTTAACGCAATATTATTCATTTAATAATATACGATCATTAACTCTGTATTTCCACATTAGGTGTTTTTACAGTAGGAAGTTTGTAAACGAGAGTGAACTTGTGAATCTGAATACAACCACGAGTCTGACCTGGTTTTAACTCTGTATTTCCACATAAGGTGTTTTTACAGTAGGAAGTTCGTAAACGAGAGTGAACTTGTAAATCTGAATACAACCACGAGTCTGACCTGGTTTACACAGAACGATTAGATACTTAGTAGTTAGTAGAATCAACAAGAACGTTATATTTTATGGACCACAGCATTTTAACTCCAACATATTCAAAAATGAAAACAGATTAAAAAAAATTACAAAAATAAAATCAACAGATACTGTAAGAACTGCTTCCCCGCAATTCAATTTTATTTTTGGTCAAGGATAAGAATAATAACATAACATTTACTAAACCATACCAGAGAGAACCAAAATATTGTTTGCAGTTGAGATGAAAGCTACACAATGGGCTACCTGTGTTGTGCCCACCATGGGTATCAAAACCCAGTTTTTACTGTAGCCCTGGTTGGCAAGCCAAAGTAAGAAGAGAATACTGAAAAGAGAATAACAGTAACTAAAAAATACAAGTCCCTTGGAGATTTAGAATTAAAATTTTCCTACAACAAAAATAATCATACAAAGTGATCCAATGATTAGAGGTAAGCTTTACCAACCAGATTACTATTTCAAAAAATGGTTCACTTACAGTTTAGGTAATTTGGGTTCGCCAGACACTGTACAAACTCTAATTCAATTTGAAATCGCATCTTCAGCTGGTCTTCACCTTCTGGAAACAACAAAAAGACATTTGTTAATTCAATCAAGACTTGACATAAATAAATCTGTTTAAAAATAAACGAAAACACTAAGTTTTGGCCACTACGGACGTCACCAGAACTATCTCTTACTTGCTGTTTGTATTAGGCCATAAATAATTTATATCTAAATCATAGGTATATCTGTATGTTGCAGCTTTCTTCGGGTCAAGGTTTATGTGAGTGACAAATGATTAATTAAGTTTCCGTTGTTATAACTACAACATAACATAGCATATAAAAGCTCCAATTTTTAAAGTAACATTTAATGGTATGTTCTAATTTAACATGTTTAGTCTCAAAATTTACTTTCATCAATCAACATCATCTGCCACCGTGCTAGTTGAGGTGTTTGCCCTTACATAAAGAAAACAGCCATAACTGATAGATGCAAAATATAAATCCATACCATCATTTTGCACAGATTTCTTACTGTAAATTATCAAACATAGTTTAGCTAAAAGTTGTATATTATTTTAGTAGCTTCAAATTTATTCATTTGTTAAGTACTACTACAAAAACCTTGGAATTCGGTTATTTTTCATTTCTAGGTCTTTTTATTACTAAATATTTAAAATTGAACTCGAGCATTTCATTCTTTCGAGTTCATTTGGAATTAAAACAACTTTTTAAACACATAAATAATTTTCATCCATAAAACATGCCTGTTAACCTAAAATATTTGACTACAAATAAATGCTGTGTTGTTTCAGATGTCTTGAATGACTTTAAAAGATACCTACATACAGTCCATGTATTCATTTGATTGTAATGACCTGTTTGCGATTCAGATTACTTAACACTACCGGAAGCACGAGGTAGACCGTAAAAGTACTGAAAATTCAACAGATAACACCCACTGGCCTAATTCTGTTCAACCAAAGTTGATCTTTTTATAACACAGTGCGTAGAATATAATTTTCTTGTCAATTAACATGTGTACACATTGTAATTGTCTGGATTTTTTTTATACTATGCCCATAGTTGCATTTTTTTAAATCATAAACTACAATACATTTAAATAAATAATTTTTGAAGAGATTGACTTGGCTCACACCTGATGGGTTTTACTGTATATTCAATAAAACAAAATATAGAATTGTTGAAAAATTCTTAAATCAGAAATAGTGAAAACTTGACTTTTTATGAAAGTAGATTTAACCTGTCTTCCTTTTTATATAACAGCATAATACATGCTACAAAAATACATTTCCATACTTAAGCAAAATATTGAAAAAAAAAAGTAAAAATAAAAAAACTCTCAAGACACACCAGTTTTATTTCTTTTGAATTATCAAAGACTAAAATTTTGATAGAACTTTGCTCCCATAAAACCCCTGTGCCTAACATTATCCATGAGCTTCCCCTCCCCAATGGGAAGGTGTCTGAACTCCACCCCTCCCTCTACTTTCTCCTGCTCTAAACTTTAGTGACCTTTCTATTTTTTTATTATAATAATTAAGTTAATATTATAGTAAATCACTTTTTTTTTCTAACTACTTCCTCAAACAATCCAACATTTGTTGCCGAAAACATATTATCCAGTAAACTGTAAAGTATGGTGAATTAAGAATTCTAGATGTACATAAAGCAAAAAGTCAGATCCTGAGCATACGTTTTGGTATAAAACCAGTAAAGTAGAAATTAGAGCCTAAGACAAAGTTGATTTAAGCTGAAAATGACAGGTAAATTATAAACCTGTTTCGTCAAATAAGTACATAACGTTAGCCTTGCCACACACACACACACAAAAACCTTTACTGTTAAACTTCATAAAGTATTTGAGGTTATTAAGTCACTACTGTGTAATTTAAAAGTTCCCCAATCTTAGAAATCTTGCTAATGATAATTCAAAAAGAATTGTGTGGTAACACTAACAACAACATACACCGATACACATACAGGACTCTGTAAAATTGTAATACCGAAAGTGAGCGTAATAATTTATAATTTTTTGTTACAATCTCCCAAACCAGCAATCAGTTGTTCATGGTATTACAATAATATTTATTACCTACATTAATTTCGATAGCATTCCAGATATTTAAATGAATATAATAAGTTACCTTTCGAATTCATTTTAGCTCATTCACTTTACCTTCGTCTGAAACACATTCAAAGAGGGCGTCATGAACGTTCCTTAGTTATTAAATGTTAAATAAAAATCCAGAAGGAAAAATGCAATACCACCGGATTGTGTGAAAATTTCTTTATCTGAATGTCGTTTCAGTTTACTTTTTGGTTGTTTTAAGCGTAAAGCTGCAACTAGGTTATCTGTGAAATATCCACCATACCTATCGAACCCAGAATGTTAAATCCTCAAACTCATCACTGAGCCAACAGAAAGTGGGGATTAAAAATGTTAGCAGTATTAGATGTATTTTATAGCGGTTTGGTTTGTTCTGAATTTCGTGCAAAGCTATAGGAGGGCTATATATGCTAGCCGTCTCTAATTTAGCAGTGAGAGACTAGAGGGAAGGCAGCTAGTCATCATCACCCACCGCCAACTCTTAGCGAGGAAATTCTGCAAGTAAGTATTTTTATAACTTAGACATACATTAGTTTTAGAGATTCTTCTGAAATGTTGTTTGTGGAGTTAGACCTCCAAGTGAACGAAGCCTGTAGTAAAAGTTATGGAAGAAATAATTCAATTCCTTATCATTACTGGACTGAAGTTGGCATTCTTTTTACCAAATAAACCAAACGGTCCCATCCAATGATAAAACATGTTATAACACTTTGATCCGGAATTTGATATATGGCTGAATGTATTTTTGATAACAAATAGACATTTTTGTAAAATTATGCATCCTTGGACTGAATACTTTGACTGATTTTCTGTCTAGTGTTATATATATATATCAAATATTACATTTTAGAATTGCATTTTTTTTTCTTTTATCTTAATTTTATTTCATTGTTTTATTTATGGTTTTATTCATATTGTTCGGTAGGCTTCAATAAGTGTTGTTGAATATATTAATGTAGATGTAATATGATATACTCTAGGTATAACTTATGTATTGTTTTCTTTAAAATTGTGATTATTATGTTTTTTGTTTTGTTTTTCTATTAACGATATTTAGGCAGTAACTGATGTGCAAACTGGTTTTGGAAGATACAACAAAATTAAATAATTTCTACAAAAAAGTAACCCAAGACAGTTATAATGTACTTTGAAAGTGAGCCGGAAGTGACCTTTTAAAAGCTATTAGTGTGTGTGTGATAAAGTGTAATGAAGATGAATTTATATGATAACATACCCGTCTAAATAAATACATCTGTGTTGTCCCACGTGCATTCAGGAGCATTACAAAAGTCCCTCACGTGAGTGGTATATCACAAATGAATGAATTACATAATATACACAATTATATGAAAATAGTGTTTTTGATTTGGATGTTGAGACTTTGATATATGAAGTTAACTGTGATTACAGACCTATAAGGTTTTATTAAAAAATACAGTGTCTGTTATTTTCATTAATGATGGTGAGAGAATGTTCCAATTATGACACTGTATTTTTTGTGATAAAGAGTTGGATTAAATACGTTATTTCTGTTTGAGGGTAATTTTGTATTGCATTTTTGTATCATTATCAAAGGTTTTTTCTTGTCAAGTACAATTGTAATAATAAAATCTTTATTGAAAGTTTTATTTTTTCATGTAACAAACTTCTTTGTTAAAGGGTGTGTTATTGTAACGAAATTATTGGTTTATGGACTTTATGAGTATTTTTTTTGCATGGAATATTTGCACCTTTGTTAAATGGCTGTAAGGCTTGGGAGATGTATAAGTGTTTTTGGAAGCATTGTTTCAAATGTGGCAGGATAAAAACACATTGCATGGGGAGGAGGTCAGGTACTGGATCCAATAACCTTTCATGTTTGTAGAAGAATCATATACATAACTAGTTGGTAATGGAAGGAAATATCATGTACTATGTCTGACAGAAATAACATATATATCCTTTTGTAGTGTTCTTATGTAGTGTTAATGTGTACGTTATTACGTTCTATCATGTATGTGTGTGTAAGTATATGATATTTCTTCTTGTCTGATAACTCCTTTTTTATCATTTTGCGTTTGGTTATTAATAAAATACTAACTATAATATAAATTATAGTAAAAGGTACAAACTAAAAGTATCATATTTCTTACAATTTTTGTATAAATTACCGTAATCAGGCGGTAGGGAAAAGTGGAGAGCGAAGTTAGAATTTACAAAGATATTTGCTTCTACACTACTAGTTCAAGCCAACAGCTAGTGTTTTGTGTTTTCGAAGTAAGGTATACTATATTATTTGTTAATTGTTACTTTCATTAACAGTATTGGATATACTAATTACTATATTGAACGTCATTACTTTTATTTATTTATTGTTTATTATTGTACTTTTATTACAACGATTGTTTTACGTTGTAAGCTTAAAATGTGTGTTTTTAGGGCTAACCTAAGTTTTTTAATTTGGCTGAATATCGTGAGATATTATTTTGATTACTGTCGAAAATATCGTTAACAGTGAGGCTGTTTTATTGGTGATTGAAAGAGACTTAAAAAACCCCATTAGTATTGTATATTGTATCCTTTCAGTTTTACCTTTGGTGAAATTGAAAATAAATCTGTAACATATATATACTTGGTCCGATAAATGATGTGAAATAATTGTTTAAGTACGAGCTCTAATATTATTCAAATACATCAATTATTTTAGGTTGCTTTATTGATGATTGAAAAGGACTTAAAACCCCTATTAATAATGTATTCTAGTCTTTATAAGTAGAAACGTAAGAAGAGTGTACTTCATTAGCTACAATGATGTTCAGCTTATTCTGATCGGATATTATTATATCCACCCACGCCTGTATATATATATATACTTGTGATCAAGCATAACTAAAACCATATTTGTGAACAAATTTACTGCACATTTTATTATACCATTAATGTGATTTTATGTCAAAAGATGTCGCAACAATCATAATATATTTCTGATGCTGTCCACGAGGTAGAAGCACAACATAAACATGATAGTTGCTAAATGGTGTCAGAGACGGTCTTCAAGGACATGTAAGTTTCTAAAAGTGTAAAGATTTCATTGTACCTATAGTAAAGTAATTTTGGTACCTTTGATCCTTTTCATTATTTATATATATTTATATTTTATTATTTTTGTATTTAATTGTCACTGAAAGAGAAAAAGCCATAAGCTTGAAGCTGCGTCAAGCGCGGGTTTTGTCGGGAATACCGCGGATTGTCGACTGAGTTTTTTACTTGTCTGGAAAACTTTTTTTTTCTTTGCTAAACTATCGCGTACAACGGATGCGTCAGACAGAGTGTGCCAGACTTGTTCCTACGAATTCCAGTTCTATGTCGGCAAAGTTATTACTTCTCTCTCCATTTCCTTTTTTTCTTTTCTTCTTTTTTAAAGAAAATGTCAGTAATCAAAGATTTCATTACCATTTACTTGCTTAAAGTTATAAATCGGCAAACGACTATTTTTCTTGTAACAGTTTTGTTCGGTCTGTTTTAAACTGAACAAAAGTCTAAAGCCTTTAAATTAAACGATTAGTTAAGGGTGGTTGGTATTTTACACAGAATCTTGTTGGCGCTGAACGTGGACAACATCGACAGTTGATATATCCTAGTAAGTGTAACCTTACCGTAAAATTAAACAAATATGTCTAGCATTGCAGGCTATGAATTAAATACATACTATAATATTGATAAATAATACCATAAGAGTTAGTATAGTCAGTTAACAGAAATAATCGTATAAACTGGACATGCAATGAGAATAGCCCACTGGCGATGTACGAATATATGGGTTTTAATTGATGATACGCTATATTTCTTTTTCTATTGATCGTTACTTAAGTTTCTAATGATTACATTCTTGACTTGAGGCCAATTGGTGAGAGATGGCCCATAGGTTTTTACAAAGTTGACATTTAGAACATAATTAATCTGCTCTGTTTTTGAATGTTAAAAATAATTTAATAACTGGAGTTTTGGCTAAAACACTAATCATGTGAGATGACAGAATTAACTAGTCAAACTCCTAAATTTCTTAGCCCTCTTATTTTAACGAGTCAATTAAGTAACATACTTAACAAGACTAATAACATGAAGGAAAGTAACACTTGTTATGGACAAAACCTGCATATAAAAGCCAAAAGCTTATGGGTGGAAATATATCAAGCAACAAATATACTTTTCAGTCTATTATTAGGTGAGCTCTTCCAAACATTGATAAGCTTTCATAAATAGAAGACACCTGAAAAATACTTGAAAACAATGGGTAGAATACTATTATCTTATATAAGCCAAATATTGTCAATTTTCACATACTAGTGTGCATAAACAAGCTAACAGCTTGAGTTCTGGTTCTATTTAAATTTAATTATGGAAATATTGACGTAAATTTGATCTTCAAAACTGTAAGTAATTGGTTGATATATTGAAGAGTAAGAAAGACTTTTCTGTTTTATGAGGTGGAAAGGTTAAATAAGTTTCAAAAAAATTGTTGATAATTCTGATGAATAAATATATATACTTCAGGACAGTAAATAACCTGTAATATGCCGATGTTGCCACTATATGTTTTATCTTTCTGTATTTTTAATGTGTTTGTTTTTGTTTACAAGTTTTTATGTTTAGGAGGTCATGATTTCTCAGAGGGTACAATCTCAGTGTTACTCATCCATCAATGCCCTTACAAAACATAGTTATGACTTGTTGTTATTTTATTTCTTTAATCTGTTTGAAGTGAAAAATAATTGTTTCTCAAAGTAATTTTGTTTATGTTGAGGTGTAGAAGGTTAGAGCATCCATTAGGTCTAAAAGTATCAGTAGTTTTCTTTAAAAAAAAATTAAATCACATTTCAGATGTGTGCAGATAAGTCATTTCAAACCACAAATGAGAGAGAAAAAAAACGTCCTCCAAAATCATTCAGTAAAGTATGAAGTCCGTGATAATTTAGTGTATTATGTTTTGTTACATATGAGAATTGTATGTTTTTAGTACATTCTGTTTTGAAAAACACACAGTTTTATATATTATTAGCTCTTAGCTTTTTTATACTTATGTAAGTTTTAAAACAAATTTAAAGTTAATATTAAATGTTTAAAAAATATTTCAATCAGGTTCTTATTTTAGAGGATAGCAATATGGCTGTTGAAGTTCAGAAAAATTACTTTGCATTTACTAGGATTGTTTTGTTGAGAATATCCTAAATATCTTTAAACGTAGGATAGACAGTTGTTGAAGGAGAATATCCTAAATATCTTTAAACGTAGGATAAACAGTTGTTGAAGGAGAATACCCTAAATATCTTTAAATGTAGGATAAACAGTTGTTGAAGGAGAATACCCTAAATATCTTTAAATGTAGGATAAACAGTTGTTGAAGGAGAATACCCTAAATATCTTTAAACGTAGGATAAACAGTTGTTGAAGGAGAATACCCTAAATATCTTTAAACGTAGGATAAACAGTGGTTGAAGGAGAATATCCTAAATATCTTTAAAAGTAGGATAAACAGTTTTGACAAACTTTAGGAGACTTCCTTGAAGCAAAGTATGTAGCCCTGTTGCAACATGTTGCAAAACTTTCAGAAAGCAGGGTTGACAGGAAAGGGGGGGGTATACAGGTGTTTAATTTCTAACATCTTACTCAGTCACAGGTAATAATCAGATTAGTTTCAAATGTCTTAATACAGAAGCGTAATGTTTTCTTTAGTGCTCACTGTGTCATACCAATTATAGCACCATATAATACTAACTGTATAGAAACTTTTCCACCACCTTCTGTTCATATGTTGCTCAACTCTTAAAAAGTCTGCCAGTGTGATCCATGTTCCTAAAATGAAAAAGTTGAGGTGCCTTCTGGGAAATGGTTGGTAATTTTTTTTTTAGTCTGGTACCAAATTATTTTATTTGTCAGAGACCAGTTACTCAGAGAGAAAAGTATTTTAGAGAGAGATAGAATTTACTAAAAGACATTCATTGTCTAATCAAATTATTGGAGTTTTTGTTGAGTTATCTATATTTTTTTAATGAACACCATTTTTGAAGATGTGGCTTTCGATTTCTGAACACTTTTTATAGGGTGCTAGAAGAGCTAAGTTCATTGGGAATGTTTCTCTTATTATTAATATCTGTAATTTGGATAGCATCTCGAACTGTGATACTTCCAAACTTGCTGATGATACAAAGATAATTAAAGATGCTAAAAGAGCAAATTTAATTGAGACTGTTTCTCTTATTTTAAAGAGACCTTGACACTTACTGAGTGAACCAGAATATGAAAAGTGAATTTCAGTGTTGAAAGGGTTAATGACATATTGATTTTCTTATTGCACAGCAACATATGTCAATAAATTGAGCTTTGTATGAAAAAAAAATAAAAAGCAATGTTTTAACTGCAATATGTAATCCTTTTTTACTCTCTAACTATTTTCATTGTTATCATTATAGCTGCCGAGTTCCTTCCCAGAAATAGCCGAAGATGTACAGTACAGATTCCCAGATGGTTACAGGACACTGCCTGAGAAACATTTGGTTTTCCATATTATCATGTAAGTCACTTACTTCCTAAACCCAACAACAATTTTTGTAATATACTTTTCAAAATAGCCATGACTACCTATCCAGTAGATGGTACCATGCACAATGGTTCATACCCTTGGGTCACCCCAAGTTCCTTGGGCCAAAAGAGTTGGCCCCCTGGTTACCAGGCCAGTCTGACAGATCTCTTCCTGAAGAAGAATCCACTTCACTTTGGAACAGGAATTTCTCAACTTGCAGCTGCATCTAGTTACATCGAGAAGATGTCGTCCCTAAATGATCATGTTCAGAAATGTCCTCATCCTGATGCTAAAGACAAACCACACCCTTGTGAGGTCTGCCAACAGTATTTCTCTATCTACAATACCTTGAAATCAGATGGAGCATGTAGTAGTAATATCAATTATAGTGGGGGAGGAGCATCTAATGTTAACCGACCAATGAGTGCTCCTCCAGAAAGAAAACAGCTTCAAACATTTCCTCAGCCTCCCACACCTGGATCAGTTGGTCAGAACCATCCATTAGACCAAGAACAGGCACTTCCACCACCACATCCCTTACAAGACAGACCATTGAATATTAATGATCCACTTCCAATGGGAAATCAGTCTCTTCGAAGGCCACGTCTTGCTGCCACAAAGCAGTTTATGTGCCCTGTTTGTTATAAGTACTTTACTCAGAAAGGCAATCTTAAGACTCACATGATGATTCACACTGGAGAAAAGCCATATTCATGTCAAGTGTGTGGAAAGAGCTTTACACAGAAAGGAAATGTAGACACTCACATGAAGATCCATACTGGAGAAAAAGACTTTGGCTGTGATATTTGTGGCAAGAGGTTCACTCAGAAAGGTAACCTGAAGACTCATATTCGAAGTGTTCACACAAAAGAAAAGCCTTTTGCATGTCGAGTTTGTGGAAAGTGTTTTTCACAGAAAGGCAACATGCAGACCCACATGAGGACGCACAACAAAGATGATCGTTTTCCCTGTACCCTCTGTGGCAAGACCTTCTCACAAAAGGGAAATCTCAAAACTCACATGCAAAGACACACCGGTCAAGTGACATCTCGTCGCTTTGAATCTCAAGTTGGGTCACATCCTTGTGCCACTGCTCCTCAGCGCTCTTCTGATTCCTCAGGAGCTACATCATTTGCTCCTTATCGTCTCCACAAGTCTCCAACAGATCCAAGGGTATGTGCACCATCTCCCCTTTCTTCATCTCCATCTAATCAACCCTCAGAATCTCATGGTCAAGCTTCTAGAAACATACAGAGCCCCCCTCCTCAAATTCTAAAGCCTGTTCCTGAATCTCACCTACATATGAGAACATCTCCTTTATCACAGATGTCTTCAGGAGCCCAGAACTCTCCTCTTTCTCAAATTTCCCATGGAGCTCCTCCCTCTCTTGGAACTCACTCACTTATGGATCAAAAGTTGTCCACTATGCCTCAACACCCAGGTTTATCAAGCCCCTCTCCTCCTGACATAATGAACCAACCTCCGGCACACCTTCATAAACCATCGGTGCATTCCCACCAGCATATGTCTACACCACTTCAAGGGGATACAATTCCTTCTGTAATGCACAGTCCCTCCCCACATCCTCGTATGTCTCCAGTCAATAGTCCTTCTCCTCATGGCCCATTTGGACAATTAGCCATTTCCGAAAGTGAAGGACGACCTTTTTATTCTGCTCCGCCCACGCCTGTACAGGCATCATTTGCTCATTCTCCTCGTTGGCTGTCCCATGGATATCAGAGACATTACAATAGTTTCCAACCCCCCTCTACTATGGGGTCTTATGGCCCCATTACCCAACACCCTACCCCTCTTTCCCGTTTGGCTCTCTTGAGTTCTAATGCTATGGCTCATCACCATCAATTTTCAAGCTCATCTCCAGAAGAAAAGCAGAATTTTTCAACTAATCTTGCTCACAATCAACAGTTAGAATCCCACTACCATCAGTCAGCAGCTCCGGACTTTTCCCAGTTAGTTGACTAGAGATCAACGTTGGAAGGTTTTGTTAATGGTTAAATAGTACGGTCAGGTATTTTTAGAATAACTATGATCTTTAAGTTTCTTCCTTCCAACAGAAGCCTAGTTATGATCCTTTTCAGGAGCGTGGGAAAGCGGTATTACGTAAAGATATGCTACATTTTACAAACATGTTGCTAGGAGAGACAAGTATCCAAGTGACTACTGGTGTTCATTCGAGGCAGATCACTAAATATTTTTTAATGTTATTGAAGCTAGTCTGTGGAGAGTGTTTTCTGCTCAGCACCTGTGTAATATCACGTACGTTATCATTTATACATGTAGAATATATATATATATATATAATAAAATAAATCAACTTAATGTCGACTCACAGTTTACCTTGTGATTAGGTTTTAAATCTGTTTTTCTCTACGTGAGAGCTACCAGCATCACAGATAACTTCCCAACATATTTATTAATGTTATATTTTCTCTGTGGTTTTAGAGGGCTTGTTACCATGGTTACAACTCTTGTCACTGTACAGTGTTATCCAGGTGCTTTAGTGCCACTTGAAATTCAAAATTCAACAAAAAAAAGAAAAGTGAGAGACTAGGTTAAAAAAAAAATGATCTTTGGAAATAACAGTAGTTTCAGAGTTGTATAACATATATATATATATGTTATCTTCTGTGTGATGAATGTATGAAGATGTTGTTCTTTATTGTGTATACAACCCGTAGAAAATCTCATTGTTTTAATATGTTAATTTGTGGAAGATGACGTGTCATACCAGCATAGAGTGTCGATGAGTAGGTGTAGTTGATACAATGTTCCAAGCTTAGCAGTTGGGATTGATAATAGAATTATGGCCAGTACTAACTTGCATCTCTGGCAGATTGAGGATTTTCAGAAGGGGAAGCGTAATTTGGTATCCTCAGAGATTGAGGGGGTTTGTATACCCCCCTGGCTCCAGAAACAACTTAATTTTTTTTGGTGGGGGGTGATACGTTGATTCTGCTCTGTGCTGGAGCCACCGGTGTTTAATGTCGATGATAATGATATACCTGCATTCGTAGTAAGAGATTTTTTCACCAGCACCACAAACGGTGTCATAGATAGTGAAGTTCATGCTAGTATATTTTTATACTGATGTATCGCAGTGCCATCCAGCTTTGATAATGATGTGCAAAAAAGATGTAGATAATGATTTGTGATACTACACTACTGCTGAGAATGACGTATCATAACCGTTGTACATGTTATAGAAGCTTCTAGTACCGTTGATGTGCTTTTCACAAAATATAACACCGTACTGCACTATCCTCAACATAAAGTGATGTTGGTAGCATTAGGTGTTACCCAATATATCGTTTCTGATCATTTGTGCTCAAGTCCACTTGTAGTACTATTATTAAAGACACTATTAGGTTGGCACGTTTTAAACAGGAGTGAGAAGTTAACGACCTTAGTTGACTCAAAAAAACTGAAAGAAGAAATGTTTTATCGTACGAGCGTATGACAATTCACTCTAGTGTTTTCACCACTTCTAGTACAGACTCCTGTTTAGAGGAAACATAGTGTGATAACAATCTCGCTGATTTATTTGGTGGATGTACTAGGATGTTTGTCCCGATGTCGGAATTCTCTCGTGATTAGTGAACTTTGCATTTACTACGCATTCTTCACCCGATGATGAGATATCACACTTACTACCTGATTTAGTGGATGTTATGGGTAGTTGTACCACTAGAATTCACCCTGAATTAGTAACCAGTTTTGTCTTTAAAACATTTTTCACCCGATGACGTTGCATTCACTTGTTTACCTCAAGTGGAAAGATTGCAGGGACAACCCACAGTGTGAACGTCGGTAACGTTTTTTTTAACAGTCTCATCCATGATTAACTAAAGTCATTTACCATTCTTTGAATTTAAAAAAAAGCAGATTGAGGTGTTAAGCCTTGAATTCTCATGCTCACGTGTTCTTTAGAATTCTCCAAGATCATTCCAAATAATGTATCACCTTTGTGGTAGAGAATTTCAGTGATAAAAGTATGTTATTTGCAGTTGTTGTGTGTGTAAACAGAAGTGACTGCAGTGGTGCTTCTTAAAAGGTTGTTATTTGGTAAAGTGCTACTCATTTAATCACTTGTTATATTATCTTTATCTAAACAACAATATAACTGTTCTGGTAATGAAGTTTGAAAGGTGTTAGTATTTATAGCCCAAGGCATATGTTTAGCATTGATGTATTCCTTCAAAAGGAATAAAAAATAAAGGGTGTATATATATGTATGTATGTACACAAAAGGTGTCCTGTGTACTAGTCGGAGATTGCAGCTGTGTGTGTTTTGTCTGTATGTTGCTATATGTTACCGAGGTATTATAGAGAGCGGCTCAAATCTGTATTCTCTGAAGTTTGTCCTGAATGAGACAATCCACTTGCTATTCTTATCATTGTCTGGGAAGGTTTATCATACATCTGATCATCCTTTTCACATCCTGATAATTCTTTTTCTTTGAAGACACAGATCCATTGTTTTTAATGTAGTTGTCACATGCTTGTGATCTTTGTTAATCACAATCATCTCCAACCAGTTTTGTAGTCAAATTATCTCTCTCAATTTTTAAATTCAAATCCATGTTGAAATTAGGCAGTATCCTGTCAAACTTTCCACCAGTGATGAAGTACGTTTACAGCTGTTCCGCCTGTTTTGTCCTACCACACTTTCGACCAGTAATGAAGTACGTTTACAGCTGTTTTGTCCTACCACAATTTCCACCAGTAATGAAGTACATTTACAGCTGTTCCGCTTGTTTGTCCTACCACACTTTCCACCAGTAATGAAGTACGTTTACAGCTGTTCCGCCTGTTTTGTCCTACCACACTTTCCACCAGTAATGAAGTACGTTTACAGTTGTTCTGCCTGTTTTGTCCTACCACACTTTTGACTAGTAATGAGGTACGTTTACAGTTGTTCTGCCTGTTTTTCGACCAGTAATGAAGTACGTTTACAGCTGTTCCGCCTGTTTTGTCCTACCACACTTTCGACCAGTAATGAAGTACATTTACAGTTGTTCTGCCTGTTTTGTCCTACCACATTACAGTTGTCGCACCTGTTTTGTTTGCCGTGAGTAAACTGTTACGTGCTGGATAATCACCTGCTCACCGGTATGAAATGCAGATTCCCCCATTAACATAAGATTATCCAGTATCTTTTTCAATAAACATTTTCGTTATAGTTGACAAGACCCCTGGATTTTTTTAACTAGTGTTGTCTGTTACATTATGTAATGTACTAAGTGATAGCTCTGTGGTGTACAGTTATACACGGCCACGTGTATCACACGAGGAGTTTCATCCAATGACTGATTGGTTCTGAGTGTTCCAGTAATAATGTCTTGTTAAGATATTATTATAGTATCATAACTACTACATGCTGTAAAAGTTTACCCAGTAATAAATTCCCATCATGTTATTGATACGTCGTGTAATCTACACGTCTCTAATTTTGTCAAGAAATGCCATTGAGAAAAATTGTTGGACTCTTTTAAAATGGTGGTTCTAAAAATGATGTCACAGGTGATATTCAATGGGAATCCAAGGGTGTGTGCGGTCTTGGGAATTTTTTTTTTTAATATCATTAAATCATGATTTCTGTTTCAATATAAAGGTGCTCATTCATTTCTTTGGAATGATAATCAGGGTAACAAAAGTTAATAATGATAATGTACCTAATAATATAATCCAAGTTTAATGAAATGAGTCAAGTCCTTTCTGGTGATGGCCATGATCTTACCTGTCGTATCAGTAATACTATCCATTAATAGTTCTCCAAAGAGGTCACTGGTACACAGTCTTACCATTATACAGATTTCAAGAACCAATGGTGCTAGCCAATCAGACAATGCAAGTGAGCTGTATTTTACGTCAGTGAGTCGTGTTTTTTTAAGAGATGATGGAGTGTTTGTGGTGTGTTGTTAAGGTTTTGTAGTACAGATGCACAAGTTGGACTAGTCAGTCTGTTTGTTTTTAATTGGTTCTTAGCAGTGTCTTTAGCACTAGAAATGTTTAGAACCTTAAAATGGTTTGATATGGTTAATGTAAACTAGTTTCTTATTTGGTTCTTAGCAGTGTCTTAAGCACCAGAAATGTGTAGAACCTTAAAATGGTTGATGTAAACTAGTTTCTTATTTGGTTCTTAGCAGTGTCTTTAGCACCAGAAATGTGTAGAACCTTAAAATGGTTGATGTAAACTAGTTTCTTATTTGGTTCTTAGCAGTGTCTTAAGCACCATAAATGTGTAGAACCTTAAAATGGTTCGATATGGTTAATGTAATCTAGTTTCTTATTTGGTTCTTAGCAGTGTCTTAAGCACCAGAAATGTGTAGAACCTTAAAATGATTTGATATGGTTTGTGTAAACTAGATTTTTAACTGGTTCTTAGCAGTGTATTGAGCACAAGAAATGTTTAGAACCTTAAAATGGCTTGACATGGTTCTTGTAAACTAGTTTTTTAACTGGTTCTTAGCAGTGTCTTAAGCACCAGAAATGTGTAGAACCTTAAAATGATTTGATATGGTTTGTGTAAACTAGATTTTTAACTGGTTCTTAGCAGTTTCTTGAGCACAAGAAATGTTTAGAACCTTAAAATGGCTTGACATGGTTCTTGTAAACTAGTTTTTTAACTGGTTCTTAGCAGTGTCTTAAGCACCAGAAATGTGTAGAACCTTAAAATGATTTGATATGGTTTGTGTAAACTAGATTTTTAATTGGTTCTTAGCAGTGTCTTGAGCACCAGAAATGTTTAGAACCTTAAAATGGCTTGATATAGTTTTTGTAAACTAGTTTTGGTACATCAGAGTATATGAAAAGACCTTTATTGAACTTAAGATATAAAGTTGATGAAACGTGTTTTGTGTCAGGTGTTCTTGATTTTAAAGATTTTGTGGCCTTCTCTCTGAAAAGCAAAGCGGGTTGAATGTCTTCCAGTGCTCTGCAGTACTGTACAGTTATTTGTAAGTGATGAATGCATAGACATTTCTATGGTTTAAGTTATTTATTAAGGAAAAAAATCAAAACAAAAGCAGGTACTCAGTAATGTTATTGAAAGTGGTATTAGATTAGCGCTGAAATCGCCGTATGTGTAAATCTTTGTTATTAAAAGTAAATCCAGCTTTATTATAATATTGATCTTGTAAGTTCAGGTTCATTGGTTTAATTTTGTCAATTAATTATCTGTAGCATATCCCCCCCCCCAACCCACACACACACACACACACACCAAGACAAATTTTTGAAAAGAATAATAAATTAAAATTAATAACAGATTTTGTCGATTAATTACATATAAAACAGAATTAACTGAGCGTTATTATTAAAATTTTTAAGTTGTTCATGTTCTCAAACAACTTTTATTTACAAATACTCAGATTACATCTCATGGATCATAAATTTTCATGATGATGTGGAATATGTTTGGTCATAAATATCAATTAGTTCTTAAAGATTCCTCCGACAATGACGACCAAGTTAATCTTCAAGTTCTAAAGTCATCAATACGACTCCCAGATTATCAGGTGGATCTTAAGTTGTCGAAAGTCATTGTCTATACATTCATCCTTTACTATGTCTTCATGAACCTACAGATGTGCTCTACTTTCTTTGTAACAAGATATATATATATCTGTCTTTGAATCTTTTTATTTAATCCGAGGATGAATTTGTAAGTTTTTGATATATTTTACGTTGTGAGTAAATTTGTGTAATGGTTATATATCCTAAAGATTTCAAGATTAACGTGACATCCTTTGTCGTAAAAATAACAGTATATGGTGATGCAGTATTGTTATAGGTATCGGTTTGTGAATCAAGCTTAATTCGTTAAGAATCGCTCTTCGGTTTAGCGTACATCTCCAAGCACATCTTATGTTGAATTTGTAAAAGTCCTTATAACAACTTGTAGGTACGTAATGAGGAACGGAGTGATACAATATTCAGAAAATAACTAAAATGTATAATGAGTATTTATTCAAAACAGTTTTAGTTTGTTGAGTTTCAAACAGTATATTTCAAGTAGGATTTGGGAAGCTTATACTAATCTAATTTGGAGAGCATGAACAGGAATTATCCATGTCATAGTTGTAAGTATAGCTGTTAGCTACAAAATCCACAAACACCAACCGAACTAGAAGTTTTTTAAGTTACTTAAACAGTACCAGTAGATTAGAGTGTAAGATGATGATGTATTTACTTAAAGGAATTCTAAAGGACGTTGTTTGTAACTCTACATAATTATTATTTATAAATTGATAGAATTAAGGCATTGGATATATATACGTAAGATCTTTAATACTCATTATTATAACTGCTGCAAAGGAAGAATTTAGAAATTTGATAGTAGTAAAGGTAACAGTAGACTGGAAGTGACTAATATATTAAAATTATGGAAGCTTTTCTTAATGTTAGTGGTTCATCTAATTTTGTGAATCAAGTTACTATAGCAAAGTTGGATAAGCTTTCAAGCTTAAATGTATGATACTAATTTTTAAGGTATTTTATATTTTCGTTGATGTTATACAGCTGATCTGAAGTTCAGTTTTGAGGCTGAACCACATGAAAGTAATACTCAAGCTCTGCCCACACTGAATGAGGCTTAGTGGACACCATGCTGGACTGTGGACCTGGGGTTATGTGGGTCACGTCCTGTTACTGAAAAAAAAACGTTGTGTACTTTGGAGATATGGGTATGTTATAAAAGTGACTCCCGAATCTCGTTATTTGGTCAGTCAAGAGTTGGTATTGAGTGGTGTTGACCAGCTGCCTTCTCTACAGTCTATCACTTCAAAATTAGGGGCACAAAACAAACAAAACTTGGCCCATGTTTTAGTTGAAATTATAGAACCATAAGGTTTAGTTTTCATAGTTTTGTCACTAGTTTTCATTTGACTTGATAATCCATTAACAACAATATAGATACAGTAGACAAACTGATTTTAGTATGTGATCATGTTTTCTTTAATCAGAACAATTCAGCCTAATATGATGTTTGCTTCTTACTGGAACAAGTAATCTTGGAGATACATCTATATGGGTGTGTGTTGTAAAAGTCAAATTTCATTTCACTTACATACGTGTAAACAGTTACAATGTATGATAGTAATGGGGATGTTACCCCTGACTAATCAACTTCTTAGGGCATTCTGCAGGGGGTTATACCTTTATTCATTCAAAAGTTCAACTTCTAGGAGTTGCTCCTAATTTCAGTGATCAAAATCCCTATGAATAAAGACGCATAGGTTGGATCTAGACCTACTGGATTTCAATATCTTCAGGCCATGTTTGCCCCCCCCCCTTTACTTCTAATGCGTGTAACATTTACCTTTGGATTTCAATATCTTCAGACCATGTTAGCCCCCCCTTTTACTCCTAATGCGTGTAACATTTACCTTTAGATTTCAATATCTTCAGGCCATGTTTGCCCCCCCCCCCCTACTCCTAATGTGTGTAACATTTACCTTTGGATTTCAATATCTTCAGGCTGTGTTTGACCCCCCCCCCTACCTCCTAATGTGTGTGTAACATTTACCTTTGGATTTCAATATCTTCAGGCCATGTTTGCCCCCCCCCCTACTCCTAATGTGTGTAACATTTACCTTATATTCTTGAAGTATTTTAAACCTCATTTTGTGTGACTTTACAGTGTTGTATCACATTATTCCAGCTTACCAAGGATGTTTTCAGCTTAAAAGTTGATAGATTGCAATTGTTAAATGTTTTTATTAAATAAAACAGAATTTTGTCTTGTGATATTTTTAATTTCATAATATCAATTCATTTTTTACACTAAAGTAAAATTACTTTTAAAATTCTGGAAATTACCGTAAAGCATTGTTTATGTTACTCGTGTGTACATAAAACTGCTGCAGAACTTTAAAATTTGTAAATAGTTTTTTTTTTATCTTGTTTAAAGTTACAAAAATTTATCATTTTTAAATATTAGTCATACTGTGTCTTAAAATGCATGTTAGGAACTACGAGAATGGTTCTTTTGTTGACTCTGTTACGTTGTGTTCAACACTCAACAGCTCATGACGGTGCTATTTCCTTAAAGATCTGCACTATATTCACAGCGCATGGAACCTGTGGTGATAATGGGTCTTTACTATAATTGGCTGTGATGGGACAGTGATACAAAGCATAATTTATGAATGTATACTTAAGTGAAATGGTGTCTAGTGCTTGTCATTTGTCACAAAAGTTTACAGTGGTTGTTATGTACTTTCCAATGATATTTTAATATTTGTAAATCTTATCGGACATATTTCGAAGGATGTAGACTGAATGCATTAGAATTTCATGCCTTGGCAGATCTTTACTAGTAAAGAAACTGCCCTATAGAACACCCGAACCAAGAGCTTGAATGGACGGTTACTTTCTATACATTCAAGTCTCTGTCTTGATAAGTTGGTCTAAAATAATCTGAGGGTGTTCTTGTTTTTAATCTTCTAGACGGAGCAGGTCACTTAGGTTGTGATTTGAATGCTTTAAGTTGCAGTCATGTCTTCCGACAGATGACATCGAACCAAGGTCTTAAACAGAATGAACTAGTTAGAGATTTCAAATGTCTTACTTTTCATGATTATATATGTTTTATGAGAGTGATCCAAGTTGAGTGTGTAAGTACATCTTGTATATAGAACTTACGTGAAACATGAAAGTCGATATAAGCATGGCTGCTTAAAATGGATTTCTTGCCGAAATTGTGCTTCAGGGCTAGTGTGGATAAAACTGGTGTTAGTATTTTGAAGTTTAAAGAAGAATGAAGTGTTTTGATAATTAAAAGTGTTGATTTACATGTACATAATATTACAAGGCTTTTGTATACTATATGTAGCCCTGTGTGTATGTACTGATGGAACTAAAACCAGTTATTGATTGCTCTCGTTTATGAGTTTGTAACTAAAAAGACAGTCCACAGGATGTGGATAGTGTTGCATGGGTATTGTTTTCAAAGATGTATAGTTCCTGATGTATTGGGATTCGAGATAGCTTTCAAGTTCGTGGTCTCTCTGCAGCATATGTGTAAGAAAAAGTTGCAGGCCTTTTTTGTATGAGGAAGTATTTGTGTTCAATCTAGTGGCAGCACAGTAATAAAGACGTTTTAGTGAGCATTATGTATGTTTTATTTTGTATTTCTAAATGTACAATGTTACTGATATTTTCACACATATTATACTTCTAATCTGATATATATAAATATATACATGTGATCCTGTTTTTATTGTTTTGTTGCAAGTAATACTCCTGCATATTGATTATTTGATGAATATTTTTGTTGCCATTAAGAGTAGGAGCTAAAGTGTTCCTATAGTAAGCTTAGCTCGTAGTCTGTTTGTTACGTTTATAGAGTTGCCCTCCATTGTGTTACAGCAAAGCTTTGAACCAAATCCATTTAACTTTTTATTGTTGGTAGCTCGCAGAAACCCTGAGGGTCTCTTCACATAACTAAGCCTAAACTTTTGAGAAGAAATTTCATTAGTTTTGCATTTATTAAAATCAAAGTAATATATATATGACTTACAATGTGGACAAACGTACAACTTGAAGACCTTCTCTGCATTCCAATACATCTGTATTAAAATATCTTAACGTTTAAATGCTGAATATTCTGCATAGCTGACACTCTCTCAAATATAAAGTTTCTAATCTACTCTGCAAGCATATTAATTTTTAAGTCTTAATGAACAGACATACAGTATATTTGGTGAAATAATTTCTTATTATTCTTATTAACCATATTGTTCATTTGTTGCATTATTGATAATCTCTCTGTTTTTATTTTCATTATTTTTTTTTAATGTATTCTGTATGATTTTAAAATAGACATTGTTGTTGGTCCATTTACATTTGGGATAGTGAAAGGCATAATGAAAGTAAAGGCTTTCTTATAATGATACGTATTAATAACGTAACACTCTTGCTTTTAATTTTACATCCTTGAGAACGTTGAAACTTTTTTTAAATTATAAAGAAACAAGTTAATATATCTTTGTAAAAAAAAAATTCTTATGCTAGATTTATTTTTATTTAGTGTTTTAGATATTTTTATTCTATGAGAAATTTGTTTTACCCTTTACACATTTTTATTTATTGCTTCTTGAAACGGTATATATTCGCAACCATTTACCAAAATGTTACTGCAAAATTGAACATAATAAATTTTCTTGTTTTTGCAAAAAATTGTTCCTATTAAAATAGAACTTAAAGAACAAACAAAGGAGGTTTACATAATTGTATGCGT